AGTGTGTGTGTGTGAGTGTGTGTGTGTGTGTGTGTGTGTGTGAGTTACTTGTCCAATGTCCACCATTTGGACCTGCCATGTGGTAGAGGGGGTTTTTTTTTTTGGGGGGGGGGGGGGGTGTGTTTGCTTTTGAAATGTTGGCAGCACTGGATGGATATGATTTATTATTATTTGATTATTTTGATGTTTTGTCTTTTTCTGATTCTCAGAGTTCAGAGCTTGGCAAGTGGGTGGTTGGTGGGTGCTCTGGTGTGGTTTGCTCCTTCTTTCCTATCAAACATCTTTCGTCCTTATCTCTTCTCCTTCTTTTTTGTGTTTGTTACTCTCTTGTAACACATAATAATCTATTCCTCGGCACTTATATATGACCTTATAGTGTTGCAAGTGCCGTAAAACTCTGACTAAAACTGAACTTATAAGTTGAACGACCTAATTGTGTTGCAAGTGATGTAAAATGTTTACTGAAATGAAAGTTTGGTCAATATTGTTGTTATTGTTATATCAATAAACAATTAAAAACTTTTTTTTTTTGTTCCTTTTTTTCTTATATGTGCTCAAAACTGATATTTCCTTCGAAAAATCGGACGATTTTTATTTTTCGCTGAAAATGACAGGCAGGGTTGAAAGCCCGCCTCCTGCACTCTCTAAGTTGTGCCGATGAGGGTGGAAAAATACTTACATTGACCCAAAAAAAGTTACAGAACTGGTAGATTTGATTATGTATTCATGGGTCGCCTGTTTGCAGCTGAGAGTAAAAATGTCTGTTCTGTCCCCGTGGTTTTATGCACCCCGCATCGTTAAGCAATATTTGATCATTTTGTGCAGGGTTTCTGATTATATTCCTTTATATCATTCTTTGTTAAAATTAACATTGTCCAATAATTTCACATTTGTGGGCTCAGTTTGCATAATTTCAGATTTTTTTTGCATAAAACCACGGGGACTGTCAGTTCTTAGTGGAGACCTGAAAGTAAAATGATACCTGTATCTGCTCTCGTGGACAGCTCCTGAAAGTAGAAATGATACTGTCTGATCTTAGTGGAGAGCTGAGAGTAAAAATGTGAGGCAGCATTGTGGAATCAGGCTCTCGTCAATATTTGGGCATGTAGAGTTATGGGTATATCTTAAAGCTTGTTCACTGGTCTTGAATACAAGTCGAGATATTTGCTAAAGAAGGAGGTGGGGGGTCACCTGTTTTCAGAGGTAAAATTAATGAGAAAATGGCCGCCAAAATGAGTTATTTCCTTAGCTTAAGAGTCCGTGGTTACTGAAAATGTACATTTTTGTGCTTTTAAATCGACGTTTTTCAGAAAAATTCAAACAGAACAGAGTTTTTAAATGGGCATGAAAGGTGTTGAGCCTAAAAAAAAAAAATGATAAAAATTCATAAACCTGCGGAAAAATGCAAGTTTTTTCGCTTTGACTATTTTGACGGGAGCCTGATTCCACCACGCTGCCTCACAACTGATACCAGCATCTGTGGTGTAGGGGAGAAGCTCTTCGCCGCAGCAGGCAGGAGACTTCAGTTCGATTCCCGCGAAGGGAAGTTAATTTCACCCTATCCGTATGTCCTGGGGTCTTTTTGTACCCCCGGGGTTGTATTCTTCACATTTTAGAATACTTCTAGTGCGAAGATCTCTTTGAAACTTTCCAGGATTTCTCAAAAAATCATTTTGACAGACTGCTATGCAAAGCATACGGATCGGATTATCGAGTAAATTTCCTCTTTGGAAAGTGGTGGCACAGAGTTCCCCACGTCGTATGGATACGATAGTAAAACACGACGTACGGATAGGGTTAAAGGGATCCGCTGCTCAGATCAATAAAAATATTGAAAAGTAAATCATTTTTCTGATGGATTTTGGAGCAGATCTATCTTTATAATTTATAGATATCTTTATCAAGAATCCATCTATAGAAGCCTAATTTCTTTTCCAAACTTATAAATTGTTGGAAAATGCTTTTGAGAGAGGTAGCAATGCAGGAAAATCTTCACCAAAAATGTTCTCTATTTGCAGTATAGGGGGCTCTCGTGGCCTACAGGTTAAGGTGTTGGCCTCTCATTCAAAGGTCCCGGGTTCGAATCCGGGTAGCGACGGAAAAATTTTCTTCTCTAAATTTGTCTCCTTTCACCTCATTTCCTGCTCTCTAGCAATGTTCTGTCATCGCTTTCATCTCCTCTTTCTGCCCCCACCCCCTCACCTCCTTTGCCCCTTCCTCTGGGCTCCTGATTCTTTCTGCAGCCTTTCTACTGCTACTCCTTGGCTCCTCCTTACTGCTGTCTTTCAGCCACACCCCTGATCTTCTGGTAGGAAAGATCTACACCTAGCCTTCTCGGACAAGGGCGAAAAATCTAGGAGGACCCGTGTGCAAGCTGCGCATGTTAAAGATCCCTTGGTGGTCTAAAATCGATAAGAGTAGGCTTCGGCCGCCACCTGGGCAAAATTCAAAATTTCCTACCAACTGAAAAAGTTTAATGTGTCCCGCGCGCTCATATGACCTTATGCAGTTGCGAGCGCGGTAAAACACTTTACAAAACAAAACAAAAAAAATTTGCAGTATTTTCTATTTTCCCACCGTCTTCACTAGCCATATTTTATTTTCTAC